CGAAAATAAAATATTATATTAGTCTACAACAATTCGCAAGAATAAAGAATAACTAATTACAAGAATATGGGCTTACGACATAATCCGCAATTCCTGGGAAATTCGGAGAATAGTCTATGGAGTTCCAATGGTAAATACATTTATTTATTGGGTTCAGAACAAGCAGGAACCAGTGTTCACTGGAATTGATAGGTATCATGAAAAATGTTTTACTGAAGATATTTGCTGTGTTTAGCTTGTCAAAAGCCATCGTTCCAAAAATAGTAAAATCATTGAGAAGACGATCAAACTTGGCATCGCTCATTCGTTCTACGTCCACCCGAGGTCGCGACATTAACTCTTGCTACGAAACATAATAGAGAATATTAGATAAACATTGTAATGTATGCAAAATTATTTGTTAAACCACTATATACCTGGGCAGGGGAGTCAGGGTAATCAATCTCATGTCCATGCTGGTTCATGATAGATTCGGAACATAATAGATTCAAGTACAAATCTATGTGTTCTGCACTCAGCATTTCATCAAATAAAAGTTCGCACATATGATTTCCCGTCAATTGATGTGGGCCTCTCTCCACAATAATTTCCCTACAGTAAGACATAACCACGTACTATTGGATAAGTAAACTTGTACTATGTACAAAGTTACTACATACTATAACATGTGGTCAACATATACTATTGGATAAGTAGACTTATACTATGTACAAAGTTACTACATACTATAACATGCAGTCAACATGTACCATTGGATAAGTAAACTTATACTATGTACAAAGTTACTACATACTATAACATGCAGTCAACATGTACTATGTATTCACTTGACATATACCATTAAAGACATTAACATGTACTATCAAGGTGGTTGTGCTCTTACTCTAAATCAACACTTTCCAAGAACAGATCCAACAATATCCTCTCTTCTTCGGATATTTGGTCACGACGTACGTAGTCCTTTCTTCCCCGGTAATAATCGGCAGTCTATATAACGAATAAATCACACCAATTATGACAAAAAATAATAATAATGTAATACTAATATAATCATAAATACCTTGATCCCAGGGACTGAAACCGAAACCTTGGACACAGGAACTTGTTTACGACCACGTCCTCGTCCTCGTCCTCGCACGCGTGGAACTTTGGCCTTTGACTTTGGCCTTTAACTTTGACTTTCGTCACCTTGATTTCTCTCTCTTTCTTCACTTCGTTCTCCTTCACCTTCCATCCCCTCTACTTCATTTTTTTCTCCTTCTTTTTCCCTTTCCTCTATCTCTATCTCTGCCTCTATCTCTATCTCTTTCTCTGTCTTTGTCTCTCTCTCTTTTTCTGTCTCTCTCTCATTCTCTCCCTCTGTCTCTTTCTCTTTCTCTTTCTCTTTCTATTTCTCCTGCTCTTTCCATATCTCTATCTCTTTCTCTTTCTCTATCTCTTTTTCTTTCTTTCTCTTACTCTGCATTTTTTTTTTCTTTATTTTCTTCTTCTGTTACATTCCCCCTCTTCCTTTTTATGTTATTCTTCTTATGCTGCAACTAAAAAAAACAATAGTACGAAACATGTTATACAATAGTATTATATTAGTTGACATATAGTATGTTCCAATGTGAACGGAAGTATGAAGTTTAGGGTTTATTGTATTAATGACTTACAGGTGTTGCTTCCACGTCTTCAATCTCATCTTCACTACTTTCAGAACTTATTTCAACAAACCTATCAGCACTAATTCCAACAACTGGACCAGAAATTACTTCCAAAACCGGAGAAAGCAACGTTTTCTCTTTTGGGTACACTGAAAATGGTATAACCTAATAAACGTAAAAAAATTGTTAACAAATACCTAATACATTATATATTTTGTAACTCAAAGTGTTACCTGTACTTGTTTTATCTGATCAAAAAGCAACCTAGCTGCTTCTTCATCGATTGGGATTTTGCTGTCTCGCCACCGGAAGAACCGGGGAAATTTGTAAACGCTGGTGGAAACCCCTAGTGACGTGATCCTTTCATGCACCCATGCCTGCGTATTTTGGAATCATTATTAATTGGTATATTCAATATAATATAATATATATTCACTATTAGATATCACTTACCAATAAGCCGATAGTGCATCCATCAAAATACTTTAACCCCCCCTTCAGATACATCTCCATATTCTCAACAAGAGTATCATATACCAACTTTCCCAATGCAAAAGACCCTAAAACCTCCAAATCTTCTACATGCGGATAAACCCACCTTTCTAACGTTTTGTTACCCTTTGGCAGTAGAATAGTATTAAACAGATAAATAGTGTACAATCTGCTGAAATCTTCAACAGATTGTTGATCGGTCATAACTGCATAGGCCTCCAGTTTATAACCAATATATGGCCTCGTCATTAATGATAACTTACCATCAAAAATTCGTGTAATGAAATCAGAGTCTCTGCCATCCATATTCACATCCACCGGTACGCCTTCGTACTGCAGCCCTAATACGATAGATAATTGCTGCGGAGTGAATTCCAAGCGTATAGTATTTCCCCCAAACCAGAAGGCCCGATCTTCTGCATTGTACGCTTGCATGAGAGACACAACCCTAGGGAAGTTGTGGTTTATTTTAGGCATGTCCATGTAGTGATAGAATGGATTTTTCTTCAGTACTTCATAATGTTGTTTCTTCATCACTTTTTTCACACCTTCCATAGTTGTTTGAAAGGCGAACGGTGAGCACCTGCAGCCTATTGATAGCTTGCTGCAATCTTCTTTTACAACAATTCCTGCAATTACATACACATAAAACAAATACAATTATAACAAATACAACGTACTATAAAGTTCCACATATCAATACCATCCGAAGTCACTAGTAATACCATTCAAAGGCACTAGTAATACTATTATGGCATATGACTTATACTACAGGACCATCAAACATTATACTTCTAGTACCACAAGTCAGTACCATCCGAAGTCACTAGTAATACCATTCAAAGGCACTAGTAATACTATTATGGCATATGACTTATACTACAGGACCATCAAACATTATACTTCTAGTACCACATGTCAATACCATCCGAAGTCACTAGTAATACCATTCAAAGGCACTAGTAATACTATTGTGGCATATGACACATACTACAGAACCATCAAAGATTATACTTCGAGTACCACATGTTAATACCATCTAAATGCACTATTAATACCATTACTGCGCATGACACATACTATAGAACCAGTACGAAAAATACAATAAGCCTCTTTCCCATATCCTATATGGAACCCTTGTTAGGACTCAAAATGCTTTGGGGACATGCTAATGTCACCGAATAATAATACCCATGAGAAAACTGTTACAAAATCATGAAATTCGACAACAAATAAATGATCTTTGCAAACCCAAACAACAGAACAACAAATATTGGAACCGATTTAATGATTAGGGGAAACACCGAATAAAGTCGAGGCATAATACCCATGAGTGGATATGTTCAAAATCATGAAATTCTATAACAAATAAACCTTTTTGCCCTGCTTAATCAACACCCAAATGGGTCTGTTTCCAAGAAAATGAAAAAAAAATAAAAAATCAAACCTTGTTGTTTGCCCTGCTTCACCATTGTTTATAAATGGGTTTGTTTATTTTTATTTTTCCGCGGTTTGTTGATTCTTCGTACTTCGTAATTTCTTCCTTCTTTGTTCTTCGTTTCTTCTTGGTTTCTCTGTTCTTCGTTTCTTCTTGGTCTGAAAATGGGTATAACTGAACGGTGGTTTTTTTCTGCGCCTTTTTAGCTTCTTTTTTGTTGTTTGATTTTTGAAATGTAACGGGCAAAGAGCGTGTAACACAAACGGCGCGTTGGAAGTTGTAAAGAAGTTATGTAAAATTAGTATAAAGTAAAGGGTATTTTAGTATTTGCACATTTTATTAGGGACTGAACTGCATGTTAGGCGCGTGAGTAGGGACTGAATTGCTTGGGGAAACTATCTAGGGACTGATCTGTGAGTTGAGTTTTGGATTAGAGATTTATCTGTAGTTTCCCCAAAAAAAAACCATTATAATGTTTTTTTTAGCATACGGCCCCCTAAACAGTGAGTTTTTAGGGTTAGTTTGCTGAAGTAACACGAGAGTTTTTTTAATAATTAGAGAAGATAAAGGGGTAGCGAATGCAATAAATAATAAACCCGTGCAAATTATATTGATGTTACGTGAAATTTGCGTTGCAGCTAATTGTGGAAGAGATGAACATATTAACAAGGGTGTTCCTCCGATACGACAACGAGAAGATCTACTACCCTAACTCGGTCTTGATCACAAAGCCAATCAGTAACTTCTACAGAAGCCCGGAAATGGGCGACGCAGTCAATTTCACGATCGATCTCTCCACGCCAATGGAGACAATAGTTTCACTCAAGAAAGCAATTCAAATGTATGAATTTTTTTCTTGTCCAAACATGCCCTAAAAACAAAACACATTGTTCGTAAAGATTGAAGCTAAGAGTACGTTTTTTTGTCGAACTATAATGCAGGTACATTGAGAGCAAGCCAAAGTATTGGAATCCGAAGCATTCGGTTATAGTGAAGGAAATCGAGAACGTGGACAAGATGAAGATGGCTTTGTGCGTACAACACACAATCAACCATCATAACTACGGGGACAGAAATATACGAATAACCGAGCTTCTCTTCGAGCTGAAGAAGATATTCGAAACCGTAAACATCAAATATCGAAACCGTAAACATCAAATATCATCTCTTGCCTCAAGAGATTCATCTCGCGCAATTCAACGGGAGCAATTGGAGGGGCCCGCCATTGCCTTCGTGAAGTATATGTACCGGCATTGCTCCAACAAGAACCTGATATATATATATATATATATATATATATATATATATATATATATATATATATATATATATATATATATATATATATATATATATATATATATATATATATATATATATGTGGCTGGCTATTTATCTTTTTTAATTTGAGGAAGAATAAGTTAATAACTTCATTGTCATGCATTATAGATTGAGGTAAGGTTTCCATATTATTACAAGAAGTTCATAGAATAAAATCAAGAAAAAAACAAGTACAATGCTCTTCAGTAGTTCATACAGTATGTATACTATGTTCCTTGATGCAATTAAGATGAACGGTTCTGATCAATCAGCAGGTGAACGAGATTCAATCATCGGCAAAGTCAAAGTCAACTTCCTCAGCCACTGCCACTTCCATGTAAGACATGATTTTTGCACTGCAAGAATTCATTTTGACCATTATAAGAGTGTGTCTCTGTATGTGTATATATATATGTACTAAGCACAGTTTTATCCAGATAATATCTGTCAAGTTAAAGAAAATATGAAATCGAAAAGTCGAACGATAGAGGACTCGTTAACAGATGCATTTAAGTAGTCAAGTTTCGGTATCGTTCTAATACAAAATGAAAAAAGACGAAAATTTTGGCTTTGAGCATCTCGAGATTTATTACATGCTATACATGATGAAATAAACCGATCGAGCAACATTACCATTAGTAATTACTGCGACATGATATATTATATATATACATATACGTGTACCATTCATCATGCACGTGAAATATTACCACGTGTAGCATAGAATAACGACATTACCGTTAGTAATTACTGCGACGTGATCGTCCACTATCGATATAGTAAATCTGAAACGGAACATAAAAAGAAAAAAAGAAGTCAACAAGACTGAGTCGATTATTAAGTAAACACCAAACGCGTGTTTGGTTCTAACACGAAATTGAAGTAGATAATTAATCGACATAAAATACTATACCTTATCGAAACAAGCCATAAACAAAATCAAGAAACCTCTTAACATACAAAGCCAACACCAACTGATAGAGCAATAGACACGGTACTCAACCACGCACTCGGAGTTTTCCGATTATGCCACTGCCTTCGAACTCTGTCCTCGTCGAGTGGATAAAATCTTGGAGCAAATGCAGTTCCATACAATGTGCTACGGTTGGTGACGTTATCGGGAACCCTAAATTTAGTAGCCTGCTTTTTCTCTATACAGACGGAGACGAGTTCGACGCTGTCTTTTAGAGAAAGTACCACGTTTCCATTTGGTAATATTGTGAGCGCGTGATAAAGATCGGCGCTTTTCCTCATATCAAACGGAAGCCAACTTAATTGTACGACAATTTTCGACCAAGAATCGGAGATTCCGTACTCATCCATCGTCCATATAGTAATACGTTCATCAAAATCCGAACGATCGACCAGAGAGAGACGATCGTTGAACACTCTCAATCCCGTGACCCGATTTTCGTAGTACGAAATTCGCGTCAATTCACGAGGCGATCGAATCCCGGGAGTGAATTTCTCTTCCGATAAGTCGAGAGTGCGTATCGAAACTACACCGTCGTTATCCACGGAAACCCAATGGCAGAATCCCCTGAAAGAAACCCTATTCGACCAACGTGGCGAGGAAACTAACGGGTCGTCCAAGATTCGCCATTCTTGATCGATCCCGACGGCGAAAATCTTCGCTTGTGAGGGCTTTTCGTTGCCCGGGTCGGTGAATCTCACGATTTTGTAGCTTTTGATTCCGGGAACATAATCAATCATATACTTATAGCCATAACTCCACTCTGGACGAACTAAGCTGTTTTCTGCAACTTGAACACATTCTTTACAAAATGGGTTGAAAAAATAAATCTTTTCGGTGACGAGGTTGAGTAAAGCTTTCCGCAGCATCAAGAACAGCAGCCCGTTTCCGGTGCCGGCGAGGTACAGGGTGGAATTTTTTTCCCTTCCGATGTATCGATTTTTTCCGGGTATTTTAGGGTTTATGCGGGTCGCGATTAGATCCCCATTTGGGGCGAATTGAAGAAGGGAGGGGGGATTGAAGGTGATCACTGACTGTTCGGCGAAGACGGTGGTGATCGGCGAATTGGCGGCGTAGTTGGCGGTGAAAGATTGGTCGGAGAGGAGATCGCACCACGATGTGCAGACGCATTTGGAGATGCCGACGTTCTTGAATGGGAGTCTGATGAATATTTCTTGTAATAAATCGGTGGGGAAGGAATCCATGGCCGGCGAATCAAGATTCGATTTTTAATTACAGTGGAGCTGCTGTGAGGAGTGTTTGGCGGCGCTTTGTCGGAAGTTACAGTAGGGTTTTTTCAATATCCAACAAAAAAAAAAGGTTTTATATATTTATTAAAAAAAATAAAAAATCTAATTTCTATTATATTGTAATTCTTTTCAAGGTTTGCACAAATCAAATATGGGTAGTTGCAGGGATAAGCAGTGTGGGGAAGAAGAGGTTTGCACAAATCAAATATGGGTAGTTGCAGTGATAAGCACTGTAGTTGCAGAGATAAGCAATGTGGGGATGTGGGGAAGAAGAGGTTGCAAAAGAGTGAAAAGGAGCCTATTTAGAATGTATATATAGAGCAATATTCTCTCTCTTCTCAAACAAGGGGAATCTGACCGTTCATTTCAAATTAAAGAACGGCCACGATTCCTCAACGGTTCACATACCCCGAAATCTCAGGCATATCAACAGTCGCCATACAGAGGCAGACACGTGGACTTACCACATTAAATTTTCTGCCATCAATTCACATGCCTAAGGACAGTCGCCATACAGAGGCAGACACTCTTCTCAAACAATGGGAATCTGACCGTTCATTTCAAATTAAAGAACGGCCACGATTCCTCAGCGTTTCACATTGGCATATCAACGGTCGCCATACAGATGCTGACACATGGGCATATAAACATTCTAAATAGGTTCCTTCAACTTTTTCGCAACCTCTTCTTCCCCACATTGCTTCTCTCTGCAACTACCCATATTTGATCTTGCAAACCTTCGCCGTTTGCTTCATCTTTCCCGACGGCACGCGCACGCCATTTCCAAGAGTATCCCTTAGCTTCACCGGAAGCCATTCTTTCAGGTGATTTTCTCATTCCTCTTTGTAGGATGTCTAGCTCATCCCCCCTAGGTAGCTCTCTAGAATTGCTCTTAGGTGATTCAGATTCCTCCCATCTCCTCTTAGATGACGCCATGTATGAGGGTGTAGACGAGATAGGAGACGTCGCTATGTTAGACTCTACTCTTTCGAGCTCGAAACATCACAACACCACAGTGGACAGTAGTTGGGTCTTGGAGTCTGTGGAGTTCGGGCCTGGATATCGGTATGTACACCCAGGGCCGACCCAACTTCCGGGCTATTTTCATGACGAGCTTTTGACTTGGTACGAGGACCAAGCAAAAGCCGGCCTTTCCTTTCCCCTTAACCCCTTACTAGTGGATGTCGCCAACCGTTTCGAGGTACCTTTATGTCGGTTCACCCCTAATTCCTTTAGTATAATGAATTGTTTTTTTATGATATGCACCCTCCTACATATCAAAAATATCTGCGGCGGGCTATTGGATTATTTTTTCTATGTCCGCCGTTCTGGTTCGATGTACTATCTTTCCAATCGGCGAGGTAAGACTATTTTCACCAATATCCCGAACAAAATTAATTATTGGCGTCGAAGGTTCTTCTTCGTTCGAAGTGATGAACCTTGGCCCTTTAATACTCAAGCTGGTAGAATTCAAACCCCTCCTCCTCATACCGACGACATGCTAGCTGACATCGCACATATCGAGTCTTTCTTCCATAAAAAATTCTTAGACGTAGACAATGCTATACGGACACCAGGCCTGCTTGCTGCCTTTGGTTTACTCCGTACACCGGGGCCTGCTATGACTCCCGCCGAACGCGGTAATCAACTCACGCCTATGTGAATTGTTTTGTTTCTTTACAGTATTTATTATTTTTCCATCTTGTTATTGCAGAAGTAGCGATGTTCGCCCATCTGCGCTCTACTCCGGTTCCGAAGAAAACTGCCGCCAACGCCGAAGCCACTGCCGCGCCAGCTCCTGCCAATGAAGCCAACGCGCTGCCCTGCTCGACGGCCGATGTAGCCAACGCCCCCAAGTTCTCACGCCATAAACGGGTTGCCGAGGATGCTCTCACCCCCTTGCCCAACATATCGCCAGCCTCCAATCCATCGAGCTCGATGAAGACGCCACCTGCTAAAGCAACATCAACCTCGGCAATTGCTTTGGCTCGTCCTTCACCGAAAATGATTTCGGTACCGGCCTCGCTGCTTATCCTGCAGCCTGGTTCTGACGAGATGGTGAATTTTATCCGCAGTTTTCGGTCTTCCAACGACCAGAAGGTTCTGGAGAAACTGAGTGAAGACGAGCTTCAAAGGCAGGGCTGTGCAGCCCTCGGCCACCTTGTTGGTCTATTTGCCAACAGGGGCCTTCCCTCTGCCCGTTCACAGCAGGAGATATCTCGTCTGCGAGATGAGCTCGAGAGAGCGAAGGTCACCGCGCTGGAGCAAGAGAGGGCTCTTCGGGATCAGATCGTGATCTCGGAGAAGCATGCCGCAGAGCAAGCGACAACTCTTGAACAAGATAGGGCTGCCTTTGCTCGTCAGAGAGCAGCCTTTGAGGAAGAAAAAGCTCGGGCATGGCAAGAAGGCTTCCGTGCCTACCTTCCTTCCGACGAGGGTAGGGCAGTGCTGCAGAAGTTCTCAGCAGAACTTAGGTCTATGTACCCGAATTCTCCGGATTTTTTAACCGACTTAATGCCGTTTACGGAGTTTGCCGTCTCGCATACCATCAATATAGCGCAGATGGATATCACGAAAGCTGGCGCCTCGGTCCACCTAGATCCCATCGACGTAATGAGAAGACTGCCTGCCAACGAGATGCCAGCGACATGGCAACCTTTAAAGGTGCGCCGTGACGGGCAACCGTGGTATACAGTCCCGTTTGACGAGGCACTTCGGCCATATACCGGGGCAGGCCCTGTTGAGCTGGTGGATAAGGTTGCTGCCAGTGAGGAAGATGCCGAGGCTGATAATGTGGCGACCCCGGATGAAGAGGCCCAAGACTAAGGCCTTATGTCGGCTAATGTTATATTTCCTTTTTGTTGTTGCCCCCCTTTTTTTTTCTGAATTGAAACGTTTATAATAGTTGGTTTACTTTCTCTCTGTTATTATTTATGTTCCCGCAGTAATTCATTACAATCATTATACCAAGTGCGAGGTTAATACTGACCTTGAATTATTCGTGCTACTCCGGATTTAGACTAATTATCCCGGATGCGAGGTCAATACTGACCTCGATTTATTCCAGTAATCATTCCGATTACTTATTATTTGAAAGCGAGGTAATATTGACTTCGTCTTATTTCAGTGTAATCCTATGCACTAATTCTCTCTGCCCAAACAAAGGCAATCTGACCGTTCATTTGAAATTAAAGAACGGCCACGATTCCTCAACGTTTCACATATCCCAGAACCTCGGGCATATCAACGGTCGGCACACAGATGCTAACACGTGGCCTCACCACATTAAATTTTCTGCCATATATTCACGTGCTTACGCGAATTCCGAGGATGGGACTTCTGCGGCAAAAGCAGATGGGAATTGAGAAGACGGATGCCGAAGGACAGTCGCCATACAGAGGCAGACACGTGGACTTACCACATTAAATTTTCTGCCATCAATTCACATGCCTAAGGACAGTCGCCATACAGAGGCAGAAACGTGGACTTACCACATTAAATAGGTAATGATTAAAAGGGGTTTTTATGCAAAAAGCAGACGGCAAATGTATAGACTGATGCTGGACTCTCATCAACGCCACATTCCACATCACTAAATTCTTGTCGTAATGACGAACTGGGGGGAGTAGAGTGAAGATGCAAAAGATTTTAAAAACCAGTACTGTAGTTTTAGATACCTCGTCAAACAGGGAGGAACAGGGAGGGCCCAATACCACAACTATCGTAAGAAGTCATACGAGGTAAATACTGAGGAATAAACCTACGAGATAGTCTATCGGGGTAATTTTTTCTTCTTACGAGGTAAGTTTAGGCCTGTCGAGAGAATCGTTACGTCGGGCTCTCTAAGGCCGTGCAGGGGGCCATTTTTTTTTTACAATATTTCGGGATTTTTTTTTGAAAACAGGGGTGATTTTATAATTAATTTCATAATTACAATAAAGCGTCATTTAAAATGACGCTCTTTAAGAACCGTTGGATTGTGTCTGGATCAATGGCCATCTCTTCAATTCTGTCTCCTTAATCTGACGGTCCGAGATTGATCTGGACGATCGGACGGCCCTTAAAAGGCGTCATTCAAAACGACGCCCTTTGACATGCCACACTGGATTACAGCATCATTCACATGTACCCCTTTTAACAGCCGTTGGATTGTGTTTATATGAACGGCTGGATTTGAGCTGAGGTTTTTTAAATTTTACTTAATTCATTTTATTGTTAAATTCTAATACTTAGTTGAATTTTAATTTTAAATTAATTATATGTTGTATTTTAAAAAACATTTCTTCATTTATTTATGCAATTTATTTTATAATTTACTATAAAATAATACAAAGTTAATTAATTATAACCTAACAAAAATTAAGAAATAAAGAACTCTTTTATCAATTATATTACTTTTTTGTGAAATAAAAAGCTTTTTTTGCATAAATTATAAATAAAGAACTATTTTGTCAATTATATTATTTTATTGTTATTATTATTATTATTATTATTATTATTATTATTATTATTATTATTATTATTATTATTATTATTATTATTATTATTATTATTATTATTATTATTATTATTATTATTATTATTATTATTAATACCAATTATTACGATCAGCTGCCGTTGTTGACCAAGCCCAAAGCGGGAGAGAAATTGTACGTATACCTCTCCGTAGGCTCAAGTCAGATGTGTGGATCGTAGAGAGAGTAGAGAGAATAAAACTTGAGGTGAATTGTCAATAATGAGAACGTACCTTTACAAATGAGTAAAACACCTATTTATATCTCGGTGATTGGATTGGGCTTACTTTGTTGGGCCCAAGCCTTATTTTGAAGGAGCTTGGGCTTTCGTGTAATGGGCCTAATTGGTATATAAATTTGAGGGCCCATTGGGCCGGCCCATTTAGGTATATCACACTCCTATAATGAACACACACATGCGCGCGCACGCTCGCGCTTGTGTGTCTACTACGTAAGAGTATGAGTGTGCTCATGCGTATATTTAGAGTTTGTTTATTAATACGGACAAGGTGTTACTTCACCTAACTTTCTACTATGTTTATCATTAAAATGTCATGATATGATTATGCTTGTTAATCGATTTTTCTACTTAAATAAATCGATAGATGTCTGATTTCTTACAATTTGTGAGGTCTTCTTCTCTACGTCAGTGCACTGTGTTCATGTGTGCTCAACACAATTACACCACTGTCCTAAGTTTGAACGGCTTTTCATTTATGATGTCACTCTTTATGGTGGTAGTTTATTTCCGAACCGTTATCGTACTGATAAAAGAAAGGAAATAAAGCTACGTATACACGTGTAAGAATTTTATATCACCTATCTGGATATAGAACTCTAAATGCATCTAGTGCCGCCAATATTTCCCGTTGTTGTGCTAGTTTTTCCAATATAATTTGTGATTGTTCGTTCTTTTCTTGATGAAAATTCGTGCGTGTTGAAAATTGGGTGAAGAATATTCTATTTGGTCTAGATTTTTCCCGTGATGTGAAATTTTGCGAGTCGGATTCTGTTTCTTATCTTTCCGATCTTCTAGATTTTTTGTTTTCGCGTTTTCGTTGGAGTTCATTTTTTGTGCATAATCTGTGCTAGGTCAGAGCATAATTAGTCGTGAATTTGAGCAATGACTAATTAATTGCAGCTCTTCAAAGCAATGGAACAAGAACAAGGAATAGCATCCGCAAAAAAAGTGTGGGAATCCGTGAAGTACTACACGGTTAAATGCGCCGAATGCTCGAAATGGAGGCTCATTCCATCAAAGGAAAAATACGAAGAAATACGAGTAAAGATCGAAGAACAGCTCGCGAGTGGCGGCCCGAAATATCGTGCAAAGACGAATCCGATGTCAAGCAAGACGGTACCATGCGTTGGGCGATGGACAGACCTCGGATTCCCCAAACTCCTTCCGGATGGCAACGAATTTTAAGGATCAGAGCCGAAGGAGGAACCAAGTTCGCTGACGTGTACGTGTATAATATAATTTTCTTTAATTTTTATTTTTTATTTTTTTGAAATTGAAATTTAGGATTTCGATTTATGTCTTGTACAGGTACTATGTTGCACCGTCTAACAAGAGATTGCGTTCTATGGTTGAACTCCACAGGTATAAATTACAATGTTCCGATATTGCTATGGAATTGTTTTTTTCATTATTAATATTATTATTATTAATGCGTTATAAATAAATAAATGGTTTAGGTATATAGACGAGCACCCAGAATATGCACAAGAAGGTGTAAGCATCTCGCAGTTTTCCTTTCAACCGCCCGTACCGTTGGACGAGAAATACAGTGCAAAGCGTCGATCGGGTATTAATATTACGATTCTTTCCCCTGTTTTTTTTTTTTTTTTTTTTTTTTTTTTTTAATAATGTGTGAGATTTCGTAATGTATTTGCAGGCGTGTATGGTGCAATAGAGACGCAAAATAACGACTCTGCTGCACCACAGACTCAAAATTGAGGTATTTTACGATTCTGTTATAAATTGTTTGCTATGATCATAAAATTACTCGTTGAGCTTAAATCGATAATCTAGTTTAAGGTGAGTACTTATCGCTCTAATTGTGCACTTGCACTACACTTGCATTGCACAATTTGATCTCGCGACGAGCTTTTTTTAACTCCTAATTAAATTCTTGAAAAAATATATATTTATTTATCTTGTCCAATTTAATTAATCCACGGATTAAGTTGCGTTATCGATATTTAGAATACATTAGTTTCTGTTTTTGATTTAATATGTTATAATTTAATTACTATTTGTTGTTGTTCGAAGACAGGGTTCGACCTTTGCTGCGAACGATAATCGACAGACAAGAGAATGGACAAACATCAAGTGCACAAATCATATGTAATAGGATTCCATTTACCTCTCCTTTTCGTTTGGCGGATCGTCGGTGGTGGTTGCTGGTGGCAGGCGGTGGTGATGGTCGGTCGAATTTTAATATAATTAATTGAATTAGGAATAAAAATTGGAAAATGTATAATTGATTTTAGAGTAATTATGTTGAAATTTTAGTTTTGAATTTCGTAATTAACATGTGAGACATTGTTAGCTATAGTGTGATTTACATCCCGTCCCAAAATATTTGCTTTTTTGGAGAATTTATTTGTCCCAAATTATTTATCATTTTAGAATTTCAAGAAAAGGGGGAAATCAAACCTAGGTTAATTTCTTTGTGAAAAGACATTTTTGCCCCTGTAAAACTCACGTGAAAGTCACATGTATGAGATTCCGGTCAAAATGCCCTGAAAATCCCATTTTTGAGGCACCGTGTAACAAAAAACGTAGTTCAGGTAAAAATATGCTAAAAAAAATTGTCTGGGGGGCAAAGTGCAAAACGGGCTATAGTTTAGGGGGCAAACTGCTTTTTACTCTTAATATTATGATATGCTTTATATCAATTTTTCGAGTATCCGTTACGTTCGATATTAATTAGGGTTACACATACATTTCTTTTATGAGTGGATATAAACTCGTTTCTTAATGCGAGTCATCACCGAGTTCGAAAGGTACTTCTTCGGGAAATGGATATAAACTCGTTTCTTAATGCGAGTCATCACCGAGTTCGAAAGGTACTTCTTCGGGAAATGCCTCCGATATGGTTCGATGGGCTTGGCGAAGTTCACCCGTGGTGTGGTTGTACCTTTCTGCTAGTGCACGGTAAGCTCGGTAGAACTCCACAAACTTCATCAGCTCGGGCCGTTTAAATTGATTTCAGATCTGATTCAAAATTAACATCCCCTTTCTTTCGATTGGTAATGGTTGACAGCCTTAGACGGTCAGATCTGGAGCGGCCGGTACGAAAGAAAACAACTGACCGAGCTATTGCTCAATTGGCGGCTCTGGGCTTCGGCGAAGAGAAGAGAATCGGATGTCGAGGTGATGAGCCCGCGAGATTCAGCTCGGCCGACGTTCGGTAGGCGAGCATGGGTTTGGCGAGAGATGGCTCAGCAAATCCCAGTTTTGCGAGATTCGATCTCGTTTAGACGAGGTCGGCGAGACTTCGCTCGGTGGTCATGGACCGACGAGCACTGAGACGGGGTTGACTGCTGCTTCTCTCCTTTCTCTTCCCACCCTGATTCGTCAAGCTCTTGACTTGGGATTTGAACTCGTTTCATGTTTTTTACCTCCAGAATCTACTTTGATTTTATTTATTTTTTATATTTCTTTTAAGGAAAGATTTATTTTTAGATTCTCCACCTCTTTGTACTTCATCGATCTAGATACCAAACACCAGATTTGTTGAGCCTCTTTCTTGGTTTCCCGTTAAAAAACTCCCCAAGAAATATTCTGAACCGTTCTTCTTCGATCTTCCCTTCAGATCTGATATCAGAGGCAGCTCATATTCTCCAACCTCATAGAGAAGACTCCAAAATCAAATCATCTCACGTCGCAAGGAAGATGCCGTCGGAGAGAATTATCTAGGTATTCAGATCTTCAGATTCTATTTCAAGTGCACTAAATGCTCGGCCGAAATCACTTACAAAACCGATCCCCAAAACTCCGATTACATTGTCGAGTCTGGTGCGACAAGGAATTTCGAACCCTGGCGTGCGGCGGAGGAAACAGAGGAGGAAAAAAGGAAGAGGATTTCCGAAGAGAGGGGAGATGCAATGAAATCGTTGGAGAATAAAACTTGTAGAAAACGAGTATATTGAAAAACTCATTCCCCGTTTTCTTGCTGTTTCTCCGTAGTATAAATACATCAAGCATAATCCTAACTTCCCTAAACTAGAAGATCATGAATCAGAAAATTAAAGGGAATATATACATATAAGGAAATAACAATCTTTTCTCTCCATCGATAAAGATTAGACAAATATTATGCAATATTGTCAATACCCCCCCTCAAGTTGGAGCATGAGGATTTTGAATGCCCAACTTGCTCATAATGAAATCAAATTGTCGTTTTCCCAAAGCCTTGGTGAAAATGTCTGCAAGCTGTAAAGTAGTATGCACGTATTGAGTTTGGATATTGCCTGCTTGTATCTCATTCCGTATAGTGTGACAGTCTACCTCAATATGCTTTGTGCGTTCGTGAAATACAGGATTTGCAGCAATGTGCAAAGCTGCTTGACTATCACAATGCAGACGCATAGGTTCAGTTTGCGCCACACCAAGATCAAACAATAGACGTTTCAACCACTTCAATTCACACACGGCGGTTGCCATGGACCGATATTCTGCTTCTGCCGAAGAACGAGACACTGTTTGTTGCTTTTTAGTTTTCCAAGATATAGGTGACTGTCCAAGAAAAATAAAATATCCGCTTAATGAACGTCTAGTCAAGGGACAACTTGCCCAATCAGAGTCACAATAGCCATAGAGTTTCAAATCGCAATTAGCACGCATCAGTACACCTTGTCCAGGGTTTCCTTTCAAATATCGCACAACCCGTAATGCGGCTTCCCAGTGGTCATGCTTCGGACATTGCATGAATTGTGCAAGTATATGCACACAATAAGACAATTCGGGACGAGTAATCGTCAAGTAGATTAGTCGTCCTACCAAACGCCGATATTTTTCCGGATCAAGCAACTCAGCCGTTTGAGACAATGCTAATTTATGATTTTCTTCGAGCGGAGTTCCGACGGGCTTAGCTCCCAATAGGCCTGCCTCAGCAATAATGTCGAGCGTATATTTCCGCTGACATAAGAAGATACCGTTTGAGTTTCGGGCAACTTCGATGCCCAAGAAATATTTCAATTTCCCCAAATCCTTCATATGAAAACACTTGCTCAAATAATCTTTGAATTTCTGCACACTCACTTTATCATTCCCAGAAATAATCAGATCGTCAACATAGATGAGAACGTTGAGGCGAATCACTCGATCATTGTAAATAAACAAAGAATAGTCAGAATTAGACTGTTTGAATCCGTAATTCGTCAAGGCCGTAGTCAGCTTGGCGAACCAACATCTTGGTGCTTGGCGCAATCCGTATAAAGACTTTCGGAGTCGGCATACCTTTCCTGGTGTTGGCGGAGTAAAACCAGGTGGCATTTTCATGTAAACCTCTTCATTCAATTCTCCATGCAAAAACGCATTGTGAACATCCATTTGATGTAATTCCCAATTTCTCGCAGCGGCAATAGCCAGGAACGTACGAACAGTGACTATTTTTGCCGTGGGGGCAAAAGTCTCACTATAATCCAACCCTTCAACTTGTTTGTTGCCAAGAATTACTAATCGCGCCTTACATCTTTCGATGCTTCCATCCGAATTGTACTTTATCTTGTACACCCATTTGTTGCCGATTGCCTTCTTCCCGGGAGGCAAGTCTTCTACTGTCCATGTCCCACTATTTTCAAGAGCATGTATCTCTTTTCTCATTGCCTCTCTCCACCGTTCATCTTTTATTGCCTCACCATAAGAATTAGGTTCATGACATGTATCAACAGCAGCTAGAAAAGAACGATGCGATAGAGAAAATTTGTCACAATTGACATAATTTGCAATGGGATAAGGAGTACCTGAGGATTTTGATTGGAGTGATGAACTCGCGGGGGGGCTCACTTGAATTGTATTGGTCACATAGTCTTTCAATCGAACAGAGGAATGTTTAACTCTTTTTCCTTTACCGAGTTCCTCTTCAGATACAACTGGTAGCTCAACATCATCGCCCCCGCTATCTTTTTCTCCAGTATCTTCACAAGTGACTGTTTGTTCAATATTACTTCTCTCAGCAGCGTTTTCTTTCTCCAAATTCGAGATGGTAGTGTGTTCCATGTCATTGAATTTGTCATCGGCACAACATTCCGCAATCTCTTCTGTGGTCAAAGAAGAATTTGTGACACTCGTGTCTACATATGGAAATTGCGTTTCATCAAAAAAGACGTCTCTCGAAACAAAGAAAGTCTCCTTTTCCAAATCATATAATCTCCAGCCCTTCTTCCCAAGCGGGTACCCGACAAAGATGCACTTGCGACTTCGACTAGCAAATTTATCTCCATCTCGATTTTGATCATGGACATAGCTCAAACACCCAAAAGTTCGTATATGTTTGTAGTCAGGCCCTTGTCCGTACAATATCTCATATGGTGTTTTCCCTTCCAACAAGACAGACGGTGTCCTATTGATTAAATATCCAGCTGTAAGAACACATTCACCCCAAAATTTAATGGGCAAATGTGCCTGAAAGCGTAGCGCTCTTGCTACATTCAGAATATGACGGTGTTTTCTTTCAACACGCCCATTTTGTTGGGGTACTCCAACGCACGAAGTCTGATGCAAAATACCATGTTCGGCAAAATAATCTCGTAAACACATAAACTCGGTTCCATTATCACTTCTAACGACTTTCACATTTTTTTCAAATTGCCGTTTAATCATGACAATAAAATTTCTAAGAACACAAGCAACATCAGTTTTCCTATTCAACAAAAATATCCAAACTGCACGAGAACAATCATCAACAATAGTCAAGAAATAAACAGCTCCACATGAAGCAGGAATTCGGTAGGGTCCCCACAAGTCACAATGAATCAAATCAAAACATTCTTTAGCTTTATTTTCACTGGAAAAAAATACGTCTCTTGTTTGTTTAGCTCTAAAGCAAATGTCACAAGGTTTATTTCCAACGCTACCAATCCTTCTATTTAAACTTACTTCAGAAATTAAATCTACTATTCTAGGAGAGGGATGACCCATTCTTCTATGCCACAACTCGAACAATCCGTTGGCAGTAGTCGAGTATACTCGCACCGGAGTGACCTCTTTAAGAAAATAAAGCCCCTCCCGTTGTTCACCCGCTCCAATCAGCATCCTCGAAGTGCGGTCCTGTATAGCACAGACTTTATCAGTGAAATGGAAAATACAGTTAGAATCAAGAGCGAGCTGTGATACAGAAATCAAGTTGCACTTTAATTCAGGAACAAAAAGAACATTGTGAAGTTTAAGTTTTTCTCCAAAGTTCACAATTCCTTCTTTCAAGGCCAAAGTTTTGGCTCCGTTCGGCAATCCAACAGAGCATGCTGCAATCTTGTGCACATGAGTCAAACATTCATATGTCCCGGTCATGTGATGTGAAGCTCCTGAATCAATAATCCAAAGTAACGAGTTATTCTTACCCGTCAATCTTTCCGTATTACCATCTTTGTGAGAATCCAAGATGTTGAGGAGAGCGGACCACTGTTCATTACTGAGGCCGGTAATTCCAGTTCTATCGGAATTTGTCACAATATTTCTTGTTCCATCAAAACTCGGAGTTTGTGCTGCGTGGGCTCGAGCTGCACCTCCACGCCCCCTTCCATAATTTTGTTGAGTACCACGACCATTTGTACTACCGCGTCCTCCAGTTGTTGTACGGGGTCTCTCACCCCACCACTCCGGGTACCCAATTCGTTGGAAACAATTTTCAGCATCGTGTCCCTTTCTTTTGCAAATCGAGCACGTCGAAGGCTTCTCCTTTCTCTCCCCCCCTGAATTTCGACCGGCCTGCACCACGAAGCTCATGGGGTTCCCTCTTTCTTCCTTCGTCGAAGTCATTATTTGCACCTGCTCTTGCTGCACCACCATGGCGTAAACTCGATTCAGATTGGGTAATGACTCGGCACTCAATATATTGGACCGTACTGTTTCATATCCACCTTCGTCGAGTCCCATTAAGAATTGATGGATTCTTTCTTCTTCTCGTTTCTTGTTCAACTTAGTGGTAACATTGCACTTGCACCCCGCACATTCACATACTGGAATTGGATCATAATTGTTCAATTCATCCCAAAGAGACTTGAGCCGACCATAGTAAGTAACAATACTCTGCCCATTTTGTTTGCAATTTGCAAGGTCTGATCTTATTTGTTGTACTCGAGGTCCATTGCTCACAGAGAAACGTTGTTTTATTTCTTCCCAAAGATCTTTCACATCTTCCATGTAGGATATGGTAGATCGAAGTGTTGGTTCAATGGTGTTAAAAATCCATGAAACAAGCATTGAATTAACACTCCACCAATCTTCAATATCTGGTGAATCATCGGTGGGACGTTCGATGGTTCCGTCAACGAAGCCATATTTCTTCTTGGCTCGCAAAGATGTGCGCACAGCCCGTGCCCATTCGTCGTAATTTTCGCCTTTCAGCCGTACTTGGGTAATAACATTACCCGGGTTGTCGTTTGACGTCAATGTATAAGGCCCCGACATCTTCTTATCAGTGGTGTTTGATCCTCCAACGCCACTTTTGTTTTCTTCACTAGTCATGGTGAATTTCGTCAAGTCTTATCCTCGCTCTGGTACCATGTAGAAAACGAGTATATTGAAAAACTCATTCCCCGTTTTCTTGCTGTTTCTCTGTAGTATAAATACATCAAGCATAATCCTAACTTCCCTAAACTAGAAGATCATGAATCAGAAAATTAAAGGGAATATATACATATAAGGAAATAACAATCTTTTCTCTCCATCGATAAAGATTAGACAAATATTATGCAATATTGTCAATAAAACTCACGATTCGAAGAGAGAGATGGATATCCTTGCTACTCTGGATGAAATGAAATCGATGAAATCGAGACACGCGACCGTGAGCGTTGACGCAATGCTGGAAGCTCTGCAGCGTTCGAACGAGCACAAGGAACGAGAGTTGGAGGAAGAAGACGAAGCTCTGATAAAATCGGTGTTTAAGGGGCGAAGAGCAGCCGTTGTCTTAAAAAGGGTTGATGATGATTATGATGAGGATTCGGAATTGGATTTGCATTCATTATCCGGTTCTTCAAAGAGGATTAAAATTTTCGATTCTAAAACTGATTCTCGGATAAAAGAAAGCGTTGATGACAGCTCCGACAATCGAGATAATGGTGGCGTTCACACGGCTTCTGGTGATAATGGTAAATTTGTTTTCAAGTCTCGAACGGTTCGAGTTTCTGTGATGAAGAAATCAGGTGCTGCTGATTCTGATGGGAACAAGGGGAATGAAAAACGGGGTGCAGAACGAACCGTCTCTGGTTTACTTTCGTTATGCCAGCAGTATGGAAGTGATGAAGCCGACGACCTTTGATTCGGTATGATTTGTAAATACTACGAGATTATAATCAAACTCTGGATTTCAATGGGAAAATTGAAAAGAAAAGTTTGGTTATGCTAATTTTAGAAGTTAGAACTGCAATAAGGACTTGATTTTCAGTTTAATAGGCTCTTATCATACAGTGAAGTGAGAATCGTCTTTTTCGATTCAAGAACGAAAGAAATCAAGCGTCCCATCTAATTTTCGTTACATGTTATACTGATTAATTTTTTTTTTCAATATAATTTTTTATTTTTGTTTCTGTTATTGATGAAAATTGGTGTTTGTTGAATATTAGCTCAAGATTATACTTGATCAAGGCTAATCTATTTTGTGAGTTTTCTAGACGGGCTTCTGTATCCGATTAACTCTCTCGCTTAGTTTCTGTGATTAAGAAATCAGGTGCTGATTCTGATGGGAACAAGGGGAATGAAATACGGGGTGCAGAACGAACCGCCTCGGGTTTACTTTCGTTATGCCAGCAGTATGGAGGTGATGAAGACGACCTTTGATTCGATATGGTTTGTAAATATTAAATAATAGTAGATTTGTAAGCAAACTCTGGATTTCAATGGAAAAATTGAAAAGAAAAGTTTGGTTATGCTAGTTTTAGAAGTTAGACAGTGCAATAAGGACTTGATTTTCAGATTAACAGGCTCGATACTGTGGAGTGAGAATTTTATTCCCGTAAATGTCTATCGTCTTTTCTTTATTCAAGAACGAAAGAAATCAAACATTATTTGGTAAGGTTATTCGATTGTCTTTTCTTTATTCAAGAACGAAAGAAATCAAACATTATTTGGTCAAGGTTATTCGATTTTGTGAGTTTTCGAGACGGGATTCTGTACCGATTAACTTTCTCGTTTAGTTCTGTATCCGATTAACTTTCTCGTTTAGTTTATAATCAGACATTATTTGTGCGCACAATCTGTGCTATATCAGAGCATAACTAGTAGTGAAAATTGTGCAATAACTTCTCCTTCATAATAGTTGCAGGTACTTCAAACTTCAAAGCAATGGAACAAGAACAAGGAATGGCAGCCAAAAATGGTGTCTGAATCCGTAAAGTATTACGCAGTTAAATGTGCCGAATGTTCAAATTAATGGAAGCTCATTCCATCAAAGCATAAATACAAGAAAAAAACGGAGAATTGAAACAGCTCGTAAATTTCGTAATTTTGACCTTACCTCAGCGGTAACAGTAATTTACCCTTAAAAATAGTGGTGTGCTGTGCACCTGAGAAGTTATATAAATTCAACTAGGTTATTGTTAACCAAGCCAATTTAGTAACGAAATGTAAGCACTTCTAAAATCAATTATGTTAACCACCATTAAAAAAAAGTTAATAATAAATAAATAAAAACAAATCAACGAAAACGTGTTAAATTATTAATTCAATAATTGGCTAAATTAATAGAATTTCCCTAGTTCCGACTCTATTAACTTGTAAAGATTTAACTGTATGTTGACCAAGTTATTTACAAAAATAGAAAACTAATAGTGTTAGACCGGTTTTTTTAGAAAAGAAAAGGGGCTTGCTATTATTCGTGCGGTTTTTACCACTCGCAGTGCAAAATAATTCATTTTTTTTCTTTTTCAAATCTTATCCAAATCTTCTCTCAAACACTCTCAACCTTTTATTCTTGAAAATTTTCAATTTTAGTAATTTTTCGACCAATATCAATTAGAGCAGAAGTATTATCGACATGGATGACAACGGCTTCGATTTTGAGGTGAAAATACACGTTTTTTGTTCATTTCCAACGTTTTGAACCGTGGCCTTTTTTGGTGTCGGGGTAGAACGCAGGTGAGCAAACATCGCTACTTCTGCAAAAACATGTGAAGGATTAGCAGATGTTTAAAAAAGAATAATACGGATATAGGCGAGATGATTACCGCGTTCGGCGGGAGTCATAACAGGCCCTTGTGGGCGGAGTAAACCGAAGGCAGCAAGAAGCCCCGGCGTCCGTATGGCATTTTATACGTCTAAAAATATATTATGGAAAAAATATTCTATATACGCGATATCGACAAGCATGTCCTCGGTTCGAGGGGGCGGGGTTTGGACTCTACCGGCGTGAGTAGTAAAAGGCCACGGTTCGTTACTCCGGACAAAGAAGTACCTTCGGTGCCAGTAAATCTTATTCGGGATATTAGTGAAGATATTTCTATCTCGTCGATTAGACAGATAGTACATCGACCTAGAGCGGCGGGCATAGAAAAAATAATCGAATAGCCCGCCGCATATGTTTTGGATACCAAGAAGGGTGCACACCATATAGAAGCAATTTAGTATACTAAATGCATTAGGGGACAACCGACATAAAGGGATTCCGAAACGGTTCGCGATGTCTACTAAAAAGGGGTTTATAGGAAAGGAAAGACCGGCTTTCGCTTGATCCTCAGACCAGGTCAAAAGCTCGTCATCGGAATAACCCGGAAGTTGGGATGGCTCGGGGTGTACGTACCGATATCCAGGCCCGAACTCCACAGACTCCTAGACCCAATCGAAAGAGGAATAGGGTAACTATTCTATGAGGATCTATCAAAGCGATATCCGCCATCTCGTCTAGACCCTCAAACATGACGTCATCTAAGAGGAGATGGGAGGAATCTGAATCACCTAATAGCAATTCTAGAGAGCTACCTAGGGGGGATGATTCGCTAGACATCATACAAAAGGGTAAAATTATTGAAACAAAGGAATGAGAAATCACCTGAAAGAATGGCTTCCGGTGAAGCCAAGGGATATTCCGGGAAAGGGCGTGTGCGTGCCGTCGGGAAAGATGAAGCAAACGGCGAAGGTTTGCACAAATCAAATATGGGTAGTTGCAGGGATAAGCAGTGTGGGGAAGAAGAGGTTTGCACAAATCAAATATTGGTAGTTTCAGAGATAAGCAATGTGGGGATGTGGGGAAGAAGAGGTTGCAAAAGAGTGAAAAGGAGCCTATTTAGAATGTATATATAGAGCAATATTCTCTCTCTTCTCAAACAAGGGGAATCTGACCGTTCATTTCAAATTAAAGAACGGCCACGATTCCTCAACGGTTCACATACCCCGAAATCTCAGGCATATCAACAGTCGCCATACAGAGGCAGACACGTGGACTTGCCACATTAAATTTTCTGCCATCAATTCACATGCCTAAGGACAGTCGCCATACAGAGGCAGACACGTGGACTTACCACATTAAATTTTCTGCCATCAATTCACATACCTACGCGCATTCCGAAAAAGGGGTAAACGGGTAATGATTAAAAGGACTTTTTCGGCAAAAGCTGACGGCAAATGAATAGACTGATGCTTGACTCTCATCAACGCTACATTCGACACCACTAAATTCTTGTCGTAATGACGAACTGGGGGGAGTAGAGTGAAGATGCAAAAGATTTTTTCAAAAACCAGTATTATACCTAGTTTTAGATACCTCGTCAAAAGGGAGGAACAGGGAGGCCCAATACCACAACTATCGTAAGAAATCATACGAGGAAATACTGAGGTATAAAACCTACGAGATAGTCTATCGGGGTAATTTTTTCTTCTTACGAGGTAAGTTAAGGCCTGTCGAGAGAATCGTTACGTCGGGCTCTCGAAGGCCGTGCAGGGGACAGCTGAAAAAGATGGGGTGTCAGGCCTGAACTGACCGAAGAACAGTAAAAAGGAACAATAGGAACACGCCACGTGGCAGAGTAGACAATGACGGCTTCTTCACCTAGGAAATGTAAGCAGGCCCAGAGAGGCCATATTGTAGTAGTATATATACTAGGTCATATGTAGTGAAGAGGACATGTTTTTCTTATGCAATATATTGGGCCACTTACATTATCTTATGCACATCAAAATTAATTATACCACTTATATTGTCTAACAAATCTCTCTTAGTTACATTATCTTATGCACATCTAAATTAATTATACCACTTATACTGTCTAACAAATCTCTCTTAGTTACATTATCTTATGCACATCTATATTAATTATACCACTTTTTGCGAATCCACTTTTGCGTGAGTACTTTTGTGCATGCATTTGTATTTTTACTTACGTGCGTATCTCTTATAGTGAGTGTTTTTGTGCACGTTTCTTGATGCGCATTCATGTCCTCGAACTATAGTACGTATTTTCACGATTGCTTTTGGAATCCAATTTTGACCATGTTCGAGTCCGAAATTGGAATTTTGCCGTTAGACATGAATTGTAGCCAACTGAAATAGCTTTCCAATGCCGCCAAAACAACTTGATTTGGAGTCCGGATGAGAAAGTTATGCTCGACTTCGTGGACACTACCAAAGATGTTCGGGGATTCTCTCTTCTAATTTGATTTTAGTTTCCTAATTGCAACTCTTTTCTTACTCGTTGATCATTTTTGCTTCATGGACACCTAATTTTCCATTTGTACCTATTAGATACCAAATCCACCAATTAGTAAAGAAATATAAATTAATCCGAAAAAAAATCCACGTAAACGTAAACGTAGAGTTTTATTTTTACACTCCATTGTATGTTTTTTATCTAGTGTTTTTGCTGTTGTTTGTTGATGCGTATTAATGTCCTAGTATGTCAGGCCTGCAGCAGCACCACCCAACTCACACCCCCACCCCACCCCACACACATAGCCGTTGGTGCGTCTTCCATGGTTTTGTGTGTGATGTTTTTTTTCCTGATGCGTGACATGGTTTCGTGTGTGATTTGTCAAAATGGAAAGAGTCAACGAAGGAGAAAAGAAATATGAATTTTGGGTGAATAAGTTTAGAGAGAGAAACATTTTTAATTATGTGCGTGATTCAATAATTTTAGTGTGGAATTTAGCATTTCATATATATATATATATATATATATATATATATATATATATATATATATATATATATATATATATATATATATATATATATATATAGGGCCGCTCCCGCGTATTCGGGGGCCCAGGGCGAGAATATAATTTTTCGGTAGCCTGGGTGGCGACGTCCGGCATCTTAAGCTTAATAAAATA